GTTAATATTAAGAAAACAAATAAAACTGTAAATAAAGACCAAGTTTATAGATTTAAATTATAAATCAATGGTTTTGAATAAGCCTTTGTGATCAAAATACTTTCAGAATTTAAAAATCAACTTTTAAGAATGGACATGTTTGTTTATGACCAACTTGCATGTGACATATTTGTTTTTGATCGGATCCTACCTAGACTTATTTGTTTTTGACCCTCCGAATTTAGAAAATTTGATTTTTTGACTTTACCTAGGTATGCGGGATTAATTTATTTTGAGAATAAATATTTATTTTGGTTCAATTAAACATGCCAAAAAAAGTGTTCTGCGAAATGAATAAGACCATGTATGTTCACCCTCTGAAACTGAATCACAGTTTAGCCCCTATACGTCTGATTTATTTTTAGTGTGTCCACAGCTCGGGTTGCAAGAGGAAAAACTTTTTATTATGCGTTTAACAAAAAAAAATAAAAGCAGTAAAAAAAGTCAAATAGCAAATCAAAATAAGTAAAAAAAGTCAAAAAGAATTATTAAAAGACAAAAAAAAATCGAAGGTAAAAAACAATAAAAAAGACGAAAAATTCAAAAAAAAAACATCAAAAAGTCGAAATAAGTAAAAAAAAAACATAAAAGTGAAAAAAGTTGGACAATGAATCAAAATACTATTAAATTAGTCATTTTTGACTAATTCATTTATAGAGAGTACTTTGTCATACTCGTCTGGTACTTTTTTTAAATTTATAACGTTTTTGTATTTTTTTAGTTGGTTCCTACTAGAGACTAGTTTTTTAAATGGTCTTAAAGTAATCACTACTTTCCATAAAAACGTTTAATATCAAGCTGTTCTCAATTTACTGGACTTTTAGGAACCATTCTTAGAACACTTATCCCCGTTTATAATAAAACATACATTTTATGTACGAGGTGTGTTCAGAAAATATCGGAAATTTTCGTTTTTTGAAATAAAATATTTGTTTATTCGTCTACATTAATGTTGTCGCCTTCAAAATAGTCTCCATTGGATATTATGCATATGTGCCAGCTCTTCTTCCAATACTCGAAACACTTTTAAAACTCGATCTTTGGGATAGCCTTTAGTTCTTTCAGCGATGCGCTTTTAATGTCATATATGCTTGCAAAACGACGGCCCTTTAAGGTTCTTTTTATTTTTGGGAGTAGGAAAAAGTCAGACAGAGGCATGTCTGGCGAATATGGAGGCTGGGGCATCATTACAGTATTGTTTTTGGCCAAAAATTTTGTTCAAAATTTAACAATTTTAGAACAAATTTTGCTGCCAAGCGTTTCATACCAAAAACATTCGAAAAAATTTCATGGGATGAGCCAATCAATATACCAACATCATCAGCGACTTCTCTGATGGTTTATAACCATTTCTTCCACTTTTTCCATGTTTTTATCGGTTGTTAATGTGCTTGTGCGTTCGTCATCTTCAACGTCTTCACGGCCATCTTGGAAACTCTTAAACCACTTGTAAACTCTTGTTTTACTTATAGCAGACTCACTATAGGCCTTTGTTAACATTTCAAAGAATTTATTTCATTTTTTAAGCAAAATTGGATACAAATTCTTTGATCCATTTCTTTTAACGAACGAAAAATCGCCGAGCTCATAAAACACGTCTAACCTTAACGGCTGCCCCAGACAAAGTAAACAATGAAAACAGCTAAAGTTTTTATCATACTTCGGGGGCATATATACCAACATAATAAAGAAAATTTTATGAAAACCGGACCCTCCGAACCCGCGAAATTTAACAATTCCAGTTATTTTCTGAACACACCTTGTATATATTATTTTTTAAATAATTATTATTACCAAACTTTATTTTTTTTTAATATTAAAAAGTAAGTACCTATCTAAATATATAATTTTTTCAAGCAAGAAGTAAAAATTAGAAAAAAGACCAAAACCATTTAAGTAATTAAACTCTTTTCTATAGAATATATATGGGCATCTATTTACTTATGAGTGAAAAAGATTCCAAAACAAATTTGATTAATATATTTGTAATTAACCAAATTAAACTGGTTTTGAATGTAGAAGAACCGACGCCATATGGGAATGGAAACTGGCACAAACAAGTCATCATTAAAAGAGTGAATGTGAACGCCACGATCAGAACGCGCATATTTATGTTACAAGAGTACGATACGGTGTTTCGGTGAAAAGAAACTTAATGGGATTTTCTTTCCTCTTTTAAGAGGATCTGCGTCCTATTTGACAATTTTGGCTTCAATTAAAAATTTAAATTTAAATTGTATCACCAAGTTAATTAATAATATAATATTATGGTTACAAATAATTGGTTAGTTTATAAAGTATTTTTATAAAACTAACCATGTGTTAATTTTTTATTTTCAATATTACTTTCAAGTAAAAAATAATTGTAAAAATAATGTTATGTAAACAAATCTCTAAATAAATTTGTTTACATAACATTATTTTTACAATTATTTTGCTCTTGCGATTTCACAATGATATGCTAAAGCCTGTTTAAAGTTTAACAGCAAAAATTCTAAATATTCTTTTAATATAAATAGTAGTAGTAGTTTTAAATTTAGAATTTATTTTTACAATTTTAATGTTTTGAGACATTTTTTTATATGTTTAAGGATGTTTTAAAAATCCTAAAAGGTTAAAATTAACTAAGTTTAATCTTTAATCGTGTTATATTTCTGCTTAGAATAATAAGCGTTGCCAGTTTCTTAAACTTAAATGCTAAAAAGTTTAAAAACCATTTGTCCAAAATTTGTATCTTTTTAAATAAGGAAGGTAATTTTTTTAAACCATTTTATGGGGTCCGCAGATCAAACAACTTTAAGGTGGAGCGCCCTGTACCTGTACAGTCTAAAGTCAATTTCCTGATGTGGCCTAAATAATACTTTATTTTTATTTAAATTAAACTTTGAACTTTGATATCATTCAAATGAATGGTTTTACGATAAAAATATACCAGTATATTATAATAATTAAATTACCTATAATTATATATATATATAGGTAATTTGTAAAATAATTTATTTTAATAATTTGTAAAATAATATATTTTACTTCTTGTACGAACATCCATTTTTGTTATATTATACATTATAGCCAATCAGAAAAAAAATCAGCAAAAAAACAAACATTTTTTAAATTATTTAAAAAAATTTAAGCTTTTGTTCGTTTCGACCGATTAACCTCAAATTTTGCAAGAAATTGTTTTTTTAAATTTAAACCGATTTAAGATATACGTAAGCAAAAAATAAAATTACCTAGAAAGCTTTAATTCTTTGTAAAATTTAAAAAAAAATTAAAATATGGGTCATCCATATGAAATCAATCTGTACAAGTAATATAAAAAGAATTACAATTTATGTATTTGTTTTTTATTTTTTTACCTACATTACCTGTACCTGCTTGGTTTTTAAAGATTTAGTTTAAATGAAAACCTTGTTAATGAGCATGAAATTTAAAATATTTTTATCTATTTTGCTTTGATAATGACTTCATTATATATAATGCGGTGTTATAACACAACATTTACAGGTTGGCTATATTTTAAACAGCATAATATTTTGCATATTGGTTATAATATTTTTATGATTTTTCTAGTACTTACGAGACTTTTCTGGCAATAAATATTGTTTAACGCCAAAGAAATCCTTTTTTTTTAACATTAACAGCCGCTTATTGTAAATAAGTAATTAAGGACGGCATGGCGAATCGATTTTGACATTAACTGTCAAACCAATGACTGTAATACCAACTATCTAAAGTAAACTACGACCAAATTAAATTTAAGGTATAAAACTATTTTTTTTATAGAATTTTTGCAAAATAGATAAAGAACTCATGTCAAAAGACTTTTTGTCGCACTTTTCCATTACAAAACTCGCTCCTTCGTCGCTCGTTTTATAAATTGTCCGCGTGCGACAAATTGACGTCTTATGACATTAGTTCTTTAATATACTAATATAGTCCTACTTAATTTTTAATAAGTTAGTTTATCTTTTGCAATTTAAAATGTTAAAGACAAAACTAAGACTTTTTCTGGATGAAGTCTTTGTATTATACTTCACAGAAAAAAACGCTAGCATAGCATGAATGGGTAAGCCATTAAACCAATGGGATCTTGTAATCCGTATTCCTGAATAACAGTTCCTATAATATCAATAGGTAGTTAGCACTTAGTTTATAATCGTTTACTGCTTTTAAATTAACAACAAAAGTTATCGCTCCTAAATCTATTGATATTCATATTGATATTTATTTGTTAGAATGGTAGAATGTTATTGCATTAAATACTAATTTGATTTATTTAATAACGTTACTATTGTTTGTATACTATGTATACATTTAACGCAATAAATTCTTTCACATTTAGGCAAAATATTTCCCTATTTTGGTTTAATAGTAATTAATTGAGCAAATAACAATTTAGATTGGTTCAATTTTAATGCATTCAATGACAGCGCTGTTCTTGGTACTATGTTAGATTTTTTTCTGTGTACTTAACTAAAGAGTTTATAGCTCTATAAAGCTGCATTTTTTTAAATAGGCCTTCTTAACATATCGTAAGGAATTGCATTTTGAAGTTACGAACCGTACTTATAAAACACACTGTATATTATGTTATATTAATAATTATAAAGAAAAAGGTAGAGCCACGTTTTTTATATATAAACTATGAAAGAAAGATTTGTAAGCTCCTTGTAATTTTTTTAAATTTTGTCTTATTCTTAAAGTAAGTGTTTTTTTTTTATTTTTTAAAGTGCAAATTAGCAAATTAAAAGTTAATTTATTAAAATTTTAAACATTACTAATTATTAATTTAGTGTTAAAATGTTTAAATTCTTAATAAACTAGAAAAGGAGATTTTTTGATAACTAATTTTTTTATTAAAATATTTAAAAAACGTTTTAGAAATGAAGAAAAATAATTTATTTTTACTGTTTTTAAATATTTAAATTTTGGTCTTAATTTAATTTTAAAAAACATACCTATAACTCCTTCTATTCTATACTTCAAGTAATCATCGGCAGTATCAAAAAAACATCTCACATTTAACGACTTAACGCACGGTAAAAAATCTCTCAAGGACCTTTTGACAGGACGAGCGTCCTGCGTAACCACATTATCCCGCACTGATTCACTGCTAACGGCCGCCACCAAGGCAGAAACCAGCAAACATAGTCCAAAACTCATTTTCATCATTTTCGCTATTTCTTAAACTGTCTTTTTCGCCAAGAAACACAAATATTTGTGATAATACTGATGGTGTTAGAGGAAATCACATCGACACCGGAGAGAGATTCTCACCTTGAACTCACGAAGCATATCTGAAGGCCATTACCGAAGAAGAAGCATTTATACTCAAGTGAGATCAGGCTGCCCATGCCCATGGCTCACTTAGTCAAATGTGGAACAGCGCGTCTGGTGTTGCCGGCTGATACAGTTCGCTATGTTCATTTGATGAATTAAGGGACTGAAAGGGTTTGATGTGTGGGTTTATTGGGTAATTTTGGGGTTAAAAATAAAATAAAAAATTAATAAACTACATGAAAAAAAATAATAGTTGGCTTTTAGAAAATTATAGTCCCTGTACAATATTTTTGTATTTAAAATTAATTTCGGTATTTTTGTACAGGGTGTCTCGCTTTAAAACTATTACACCCCTTAAAATGGTTGTTCTTGAAACAATTCGAGTCAAAATTTTATTTTTGAAACATTAAAAAATTGTTTTTTCAACTCCCACCTTTAAAACGCCCATTATCGTACATGTTTTCATTAAACTAAGTGACCTTTTAAATACACATTGACAAGTTTTGGCTTTATGGCGCTTTAGTCACGGGCTAATGTTAGTTTCAAATGTCATACAATCGTTAAAATAAAATGCCTTTCTTGTAAAATAATACTAAATGTAAAAACTAATTTATTATCTCAATACAAAAGTAGGTACACAAGTATTAAATAGTTTCTTGACGCCAAAGATTATATGACTGACCTTTTGATTTTGCCGTAGAACTGCAGTTAAGTAGATTTAACTGATAAAGCGTTAAAAATTTGAGTACAGTGCCCATAAAACATTTTCTTCTCTTTTACTTTGAAAAACTGCTTCTATATCGATTTTTAGTCCATTTTCAAGGAATAAATTTTGATTTACACAAAAAAATTTAAGATTTTAACGCCGGTAGATTCCCAAGTTAGAAATTCTAACGGGAATTCCAATAAATTCAACTGTCACTCTTTGTACCTTTAACATTTCCCATGTAAGAATTTTTAAGACTTTGTGATAATATTTTGCAATTATAGTATAAAAAATCAATGGATAAAATATTTTCTTAACATAATCATATTTTGAAGTTATTTTAATATTTTGAAGTATCAATAATTATTTAAAATAATAACGGGCAATGTTAATGGTGAAAATTACATCAAAAATGTTTATTGGGATGGTTACTTTATTTTCGTATAGATGTCGCTTTATACAAATATTTAATTAAAATCATTTTTTAGATAATATTAATATATTTACTATATTTGTCGTAGTATAGTACGCAACTCGTTTATTTTCTAGGCACTCATTTAATTAAGCACTAGCTCGCAAGCTCGGTCGTGTCTAAATTAAATTCGTGACTAAAGTGACGTTTATCAAACTTGATACATGCTATACTATTTTATGCATACCTGTATAAAAAACTAAAACCATTAGAAATTATTTTTAAAAACACAAAACAATTTCTAAAAATACCAATTTTGGGACACCCTGAAGAAAATTTTCAGTTTTCTGTTTAAAATTATAGTTTTGAATGATCATTTACAAATCATTTTTATGCTGTATTTTTTATAATTAATATAATTATATTACATTATAGGATTTTTAATATATAAAACTATAGTTGTTTTTTCTATACCAGCATTTTGTTGGAACTCAGTTAAAAAATTATTACAGTTATTATAATATAACCTAATAAAATGCAGTGTCCGACAAAAAAGTGTAAACAAACTGTATAAGTACCTACTCCTAAATAAGAATAATTAACCTATTATGATTATTATTTATTCAAAGGCAAAATTTCTTAAATTATGAATTAATCATTATGTAGGTATCTTTATTTAAATAATAATGCAGTGTTAACGGTAAATGTTCGCACCATAATAAAATTCGTTAATTTTATTTATTTAAATTTGCAATGAGTAACAAGTTTGCAAAAAAATATTTTTGAATTAAACAATGCATTCGATTTTTGTATTAACCTAAATCCCAAGACAAAAGAAAGGAAAAATTAACATAAGTAAATGAGTCATAAAAAGGATGGTTAGTTTATTTTTTAAACAAAGGATCAAAATTTTAAAAACCTCAAAATATTTAAATTTATAGTTATAAAAAGGATGGTTACTTTAATTTTGAAATAAAAGATCAAAATTTTATAAACCTCAAAATATTTAAATTTATACAGTTCCTTCGATTATAAATTAGCCACCCTTAATACCTTTTGAGTTCTAGTAAATATGATCTGGAGCAAAAAAAAATCCAGTGAAACAAATGTTATGTTGCATCCTCTGACCTCCAGATACCCTTACTAAATAAATTTAAAAACACTAGTGTTATCAGGGCCGGGCCTAAGGGGGGTGTAGGGGGGGGAGTCACCCCCCCCCAAAGTCTTGGCAGTTGGTTCCAAATCCAAACACGGTTGGCAAAATCTATAGTATTTGGGTCGGTTGGTTGGGTATACCTACCCTACCAACCAACCCATCACAATAAATAAAATGAAATATAATTTTTAAACTTTACCTACATATTACAAAATTATAATTTTTAATCTATTGTAACCTCCTATAATCGTTACCGTCAAGAAAATTGTATTGGTCAACCTTATTTTTATTAAAGGACATATTTCACACAAACGGCCTGTACAAAGTCGGCACCGCCTCGCGGCTTTGTCTTTGGTTTTGGCGGCGTTTGACTCTTTTTAGCTACCGCAATTTTTGGCGTCTTATTTTTATAGATTATTAATTAGTTGAAGCTTATCTAAGCTAAGTAAAACTAGTGTCAATAATTGGGAATTATTTTTTTTTAATATGGAAAAGAAAGCTAGACCTGGCCGAGTTCTAGTAAAATGCTCATTATGTGGATGTGTGTTTAACAAGGACTAGAAAAAAATGCACGAGGAAAATATTCACGGTGGAAATTTGGTTAAAATTAAAATTGTTACTGTTCCGGATAATCCACTTACATTGGCAGCAAATCAAAAAAATAGAGAACGAGAATCAATCCCATCGACTTCGAAAGAGCATGCTAATGGTAGGTAAAGACATTCTTTATCTACACTTTACAACACTTTACATTCATGATAAAACTACTGAAAATTTTTACTATTACTACTAAAGTATCGATAAAAAAATAAGTTGGTTTTTTTATCGTCTCCACCCCCCCCCAAAAAAGTGTGCCTCGGTACGGCCCTGAGTGTTATAACAGCTGTTATAAAAATCAGATTTGTTAACATGAGTTTGTAGTTTGTTAATTTTATTTTGTAAAATTTTAACATAATTTTGTGTAGAAAACCAGGGTTTGTAATTATTTTAACAAAGAAAAATATTTTAACGAAAGTTTTGTAAAGGTAATATCAGGGCTCCCACACCTCCTAAAATTCTCCTAAAATTGCCATCAATCTCCTAAAACTCCTAAAAATTATTTATAAGTATTTTGCGTTCATAATGACTTCATTATAACACCGCTTTCGGTGCTGTAATGCATGTATAAAATCAAAATTGTTGGTGGGATAAAGTATCTCATGAGATACTTTATCCCACCAACAATTTTGATTTTATACGTTGGCTATACTTTAAACAGCATAATATTTTGCATGCAATATGCATATTGATTATAACAAAAAACTTTGGCGAGGTGTAGGTTCAATTTTTTCTTATATTCTTATGAATATTACCAGTGATGGGTCAAGAAAGTTTCTTAAAGAAACTAAGAAAATTGAATGTTTACCATATTGATTATAATATTTTTATGATTTTTCCAGTACTTACGAGACTTTTCTGGCAATAAATTTTGTTTAAAACCAAAGAAAATCCTTTTTTTCTTCTTTAACATTAACAGCCGCTTATTGTAAATAAGTAAATTAAGGACGGCATGGCGAATCGATTTTGACATTAACTGCCAAACCAATGACTGTGATACCAACTATCTAAAGTAAAATTCGACCAAATTTTTCCCCAGTACCTACATAGTTTTACTGTCAATTAAAACCCATAAAAACAAAACACGGCGTCCATTCACCTACTCGTCAAATGCATCCAGATTGATTTAAATAAGAATTTAAAAAGATTGCTTCGTGACTAACCGTTTCGATCTCCGTCCCCGATACGGCTTCCGCTTTTATGCGTAATTAAAAGTAATTTCCACCTTCAAAATTAAATCCTGAAATGTTCAACGGCATTGACCTTTTGTCAAACAGAAAATACAGTTGAAATGGTATGGTAAATATAGATGGTTTCAATCTGTGTTTATCTTAACGGACTGTTTTAATTCTTGGATCCCTCGAGATACATTTAAAGTTTAAAATTGATATATTTATTATAATTATGTTACCTAGTAGCAGTAAAGCTCAGTTGTACAATTCAATTGTTATAACAATAGTTTGAGCGGAATCTTAACTCGAATTTTACAAAACCATGCTAGTCAATAATATAATAGTTAAAAAGTCTTATTTTTATGATTGTAGAGGGAAAACTATTTATAATAGATTAAGTTAAAAGGCAATTTTGTAGAACATGTAAAGTACTAAAAAATTATTTTTTAACTTTTTGACCTACCATCCATATTTTACCTACTATGGTATAAAATTAAAAAATCATAAAAATGAGACTGAGTCTATAACTTTTTAATTATTACTCACAACAAATTTGCAATAAACAATTTTGTGGTGCATACATATTAGGGTGTTTCAAAATAAGGCAATATTTTTCTTTTTTCAAATTCATGTGAAATTGTCGTCACTTATGCTAAAAATAAGATTTATTTCGCCTGCATGCTATGTAGAACTTTTTTTTTTTGATAAACAATCACTGGTCCTTTTTTAGCATTAAATTATCTACAAAAAATCTAACAGAGTCCATGGACTGCAGTTCTTTAGATTCAACTGTTTTTATTTTATTAACGTTGAAACGTATACATTCTAAAAAAAATGATATTTTTACATTTAGCGGCTAAACTACTAATCGTAGAAAAAAAGTCAATTAGCAATTTTAAAGATCTTTTAATGTTCTACAAATTCGTTTAAAAAAAAAATTTTTTATCACCTACAGTTAAAATTTATAAGTGTCTAA